GCTTGGCCGCCGGCGATGGAGCTTGTGGTGGTCCAGTCACAGCCCGGGGGAGGGGAAGGGGATGCGCGCGCGTGAAGGCTGTAGGTAGAGGATCGATCTGCCCATGGCGACAAGCAGCCATGGCGGCCGGCGGGGCAGCGATGGAGCTCGTGGTGGCCCAGTCACATCCCGGAAGGAGGGAAAGGGGATGCGCGCACGTGTAGGCTGGAGGTTGGGGATGGAGGCGCATAGGAAAGGAGGCGGGTCGCGCGAGGCCACTACGTATTGCGCGTTGCGCCAGCGTGGTGTGCGAGTCGTTTGAAAGTTCGGCCGGCACACCGCGCCCAAACATTTACCAAATCCTATACGACACACTCTGCATCAAAGTGTCGGGGTACCGCACACTCTTTCTTAGCGATCGAACGAGACGGGCCGGCCCATTAGAAGCGTTCCATCGATCCCGGTTTCCGGAACCTGCTGGAAGGTTCCAGCCAGTTTTTCCCGGTTTTGGGAACCTTCTATTAGGTTCCTTAACCTTTTTTTCTTTCTTTCTTTTTACCTGTTTGTTTATTCTTTTCTCTCTTTTTTCTTGTACTTTTTTGGTATTTTTGGGAAAAATGTTCTTAAATTTCAAAAAATGCTTGATTTATCATCATTTGTTCAACAATTTAAAAAATGTTTCCATTTTCAATTTGTATTCAAACATTCAAAAATTCGTGCTTTTGAAAAATTGTTCAGAAATTCAAAATTTGTTCAAAATTTCACAACTTCTCAAATTTTGTTCAGTATTATGAAAATCTAAAATATATAATAATATTTGGGTTTTCAAATTTTGTTTGGGAGTTTAAAAAATGTTCATGGTTTGTTAAGTAATGTTCATATTTTCAAATTTTGTTTTGGGATTTCAAAAATTGTTTGCAATTTTAAAAATAAATTTGTGCTATGAATTTTGTTCTGGAGTTTAAAAACATGTTGATGTTTTCAAATTTTTTTTTGGGAGATTCAAAAAAAGTTCCCATTTTTAAAATTTTTTGCGTATCCACAAACTGCTTTGCCATTCAAAAAAATTCTAGTTTTCTAAAAAATGTTCGTATTTTCAATTTTTGGGGGGCAGTTTAAAAATTGTTTCCATTTCCAGAAATTGTTTGTGTTTTTCGAAATGTTTGAGTTTTTTCAAATATAGACAATTTCAGAAAGTGTTCGCGGTTTCATATAGAATTCACTTTTTCTCCAAAATAATATTTTGCGTTCAACATTTGAAAAACGTTCGTATGCGTGCTTGGCTTTGTTCCGAAGTATTTGTGCTGCCCATTAAAACACCTAGCTTGCTAGCTCAAGAGGAAGGAGTACTACTTGTGAAGCACGTGGTCTTGTTTTCGAATCCTGCTTGGCGCATTCTGTTTTGCGAGCGAGTGTTGTACTTTCTTCGCTAGCCGGAATGGGAGAGCCACATGGGCCGGCCCAGTCGGGGAGACCCGCCTGTGTGTTCCCTCGACAATTTACCGCAGTTAGCGGCAGATAGGAGCTCCTAGCAGTTTGCCCATCCGAGGCGCTGCTATACCGCATTTTTTACTGGGAAAGGTTTAATTTCTTAGAAATAAAATTGGGAAAGGTTTAAGAGGGGAATAAACAGCCAGCGGTAAAAAAAGTTGACAAAGGATGAATTTCATTTACACGAAATGCAGCACTAAGATACAAACAAAATGAGCACACATTCTACCTATGCATAGATAGGATGCACACAACCAACACCTACATACATAAAAGATACCGACAAATAGCAAAGTATTATAAGACCAAAGTTATACCTAGGCAAGAGAGAAAACCTCGAAGCGATCAAATCCTTAGTCAACATACTACAGAAACCCCCATATCCGCATCAATTATCTCATGACACCATAAGAACAACGGGATTCTTTAATAGCAACGCCTTCAAGAAGGGAGGGTCGTCGTCACTAGATGAGTCGGGGAGACCCGCCTGTGTGTTCCCTCGACATTTTACCGCAGTTATTGTCAGATAGGAGCTCCTAGCAGGTTGCCCATCCGAGGCGCTGCTATACCGCGTTTTTTACTGTGAAAGGTTTAATTTCTTAGAAATAAAATTGGGAAAGGTTTAAGAGGGGAATAAACAGTCAGCGGTATTTTTTTTGACAAAGGATGAATTTAATTTACACGAAATGCAGCACCAAGATACAAACAAAATGAGCACACATCCTACGTATGCATAGATAGGATGCACACAACCAACACCTACACACACAAAAAAAACATCGGCAAATAGCAAAGTATTATAAGACCAAAGTTATACCTAGGCAAGAGAGAAAACCTCGAAGCGATCAAATCCTCGGTCAAAAAACTACAAAAACCCTCATATTCGCATCAATTATCTCATGACAACATAAGGACGATGGGATTCTTCAATAGCAACGCCTTTAGGAAGGGAGGGTCGTCGTCACTAGATGCAACCACCAAAGGCCAGAATCTAGGTTTTCATCCTGAAAAACTAGTGCAAACATATCCGAGCAATGCTTTCAATAAGGTAACGGCGCAAAAACCAACTTGGGCCAGACCTATGTTTTCACCTCGGAGCTCGAGACCGGGTACTCGAGAAGCGACACCACCAAAGGCCAATGCTATATATCATTCTCTGTGACCGTCCTGCGACCTACAGCCTCCAAAATCCCGAAGTGCACCGCCCATTTAACTGCTCTCCACAGTGGTTTACAGTCAGGTACAATTCTAGGCAGGTGGTTCCTGAAGCTTCCGTCCTGTTCTCGGAAGCTTCCAGGGCAGGTTTTCTTTCATTCTTTATGTTTCCATTGCTTTCCCATTTTATTCAATCAATTTTCTATTTCTATTTTCTATTTTTTTGCATTTTCACAATTTCCTTTATTTTTCTAGCATTATTTATAAAATGCATGATTTTTCTGGAAAACTACAACATTTGAAATTCACGTTTTTCAAATTCCATATCATTTTATAATGATGATAAATTTTATTTAAAAATCAGGTCCATGAATATTTAACAATAATATTTTTTAAAATTTGCAAATAATTTTCAATTAATGAACATTTTATAGCCCTGCAAACATTTTTTAAATTTTATGAATAATTTAAAATGTGTAAAATAAAAATCAAATTCGGTATAATTTTCCAATTTGCAAAAAATGAATTAATAAACATGCTTTTCAAATTCATGATTTTTTATCCATGAACAATTTTTCAAATTTGCATACAATTTTTGAACTCATGAACATTTTTTAGATTCATGAACATTTTTTAAAATTCACAATTTTTTTGGAATTCACAAACCTTTTTCCAAACCAATGAATTTTTTTCACGAACGTCTTTTCAAATTCACAAACATGTTTTGAATTAGTGAACATATTTTAAATTCACAAGTATATTTCAAAAAAATTAACATTTTAAAGATTTATGTTTTTTCTCACAAACCAGATTAAAACAGGAAAACCCAAAAAAA